TCCCCCCCTTCTCTCTCTCTCTCTCTGTCTCTCTCTCTGTCTCTCCCCCCTCTCTCACCCTCTCTCTCTCTCTTTCTCTCTCTCCCTCTCTCTCTCTCTCTCTCTCTCTCTCTCTCTCTCTCTCTCTTTCTCTTTCTCTTTGAGGGATACTAAATACTTGGTGTGGGTGACATTTGAATACCAAAACTAGGCCTACCACAAATTTTGTTCAATCTTGATTCTGCTTTGTCATTAGCCCGTTGTTTGCCCCCGTTCAATGGACGTTACATTCGGAAGTCCTGACAGCGTTGAAAGGTGCGTTTGACCTATACCATGAATGACAATGAATAATCTTTTCTGACCTCACATTCCCCCATTCCACAGTTCTATACTCAAAGGAATTCTGCAACTGAGGGGGTTAAGCGACCGGAAACTGTTTAATTAACTAAATAAAGGATATAATGCTCTCAAATCGAATTGAGTCCTAAATGTCTAACCAGGCAAAACGAATCTTGATGTGTTTCCTGTGAGAGCTTCCTTTTTTCTTTTGAACTGTACTGAATCTGATCTACCAAATTATTTTTTTCACTTCTGTTCTCTGTAAGCAACCAGATAGTTTTTGCTCTGAATCCTTTTACTGATGAAGTTGGCTGATTAAGACGATAGGGTTCCACTCTAAAAACCTTTCTATTTTACTTCAACTTTCAAAGTTAAAGTGCACCCTGTTAAGAACCAGGCTAAAGAGATGACGTCAAAGGTTCAATAACAGTTGTGTCGGTCTTAGAAGGCTAAAGTTTCATTTTTTTTCATCTCTAACAGTATGAGCTTTTCAAATACCACACGACTTTTGTCCCAATCCACAGTCTTAGGTTTAGGTAAGCAACAGAAAAGAGATAATAAGGCCCTGAAACTCAGCCTTCTAAAAAAACCTTTTCGAGTCTAGTTCCAAGTTAGTTTTAAACAATAGAAAGAAGTGCTGTGCGTGAACTCAGTCCACGATAAATCAGGTTATAACTCTTGTTCTCTCGATATGATAAAGGATATACGGTGGCACTTGGGGAGAGAGGGATAGAGAGGGGGAGAAGACGGGAAAACAGAGAGTGAGAGTGTGTATACATATCTAGTACTAATCATATGAAAGTGAAAATATTTTATATACTGCTCATTTCACTGTTTCATTTGACAACAACAAAAAAACCTTTTGCATTCTCAAAGAGTGTGTTTGGACGCTTGAAATATTGCACACTGGGTAGTTACGGATGTCAGTTGAGAAGAACAAAGGTTTGGGGTCGGAAGTGAGACTTTTTTCTGCGTCATCTGGATCTGCCGGGTTCAGTACTAGATATTACTAGATGTCCAAGCTTTTATTTATTTCCTTGAGATTTTTTTAAAGGTCTTCTGATTTTGGCTGAGTGGAACATAGTTGTTTCGGACCCGGTGCATAATAAAACATATTATAACGTTGATAATAGTAAGCTTTTATACAGTGGGTATCCCTGGTCCCTTTGCACTCTATAAAAGACAGGAAAATAATTTACAAGTAACCAACAAGAATTGAATAGGACGTCAGACTTAATAGAATCTAGCAACGGAACATGCAAACGGTCAATAATACATCTAGGAAAAGAAGAGTTAATAGCATGGCGCACGAAAACCGTCTTGTTCGTCGCCTTTTTAAAAATTGATTAATACAAAATACAAACGAAACACCACTCAAACTATAAACCCCTTTTATTAACAGAGTAATATAAAAATACACATATGTTATGTTGACAAAAAAAACGCTTTCAAAGTGACACTCATGACTTCGTAACCTTTACTCACAAGAAAAAAAAACAACTACAGACCCCTGATCAATGATGCCTGACGTACGTGTTGTCGTTAGCACAGAAAAAGCATTAGGTTTGAAGTCCTTGAATACAAGCCAGTCTCAAGCATAAGCCTGAAGCAAACAAACACCTTCTTAGAACACGCAACTAAAGAAAATCTTGGGGGGGGGGGGGCATTTTTGCAAATAATTTGCAATTATTTCAGCAGCTGAATAGAAGGGTCTGTATTGATGACAAATGACAAGGATCTTAATAATGGCAACATTCTCTGTAGATGCCTGCTTCTTTTGTTTAAAAAAGAATGTTTCAATTCCTTAGGACTGATTTTAGCCAACTGTTTAAAAAGTATACTGACGTTCG